ACTATTAAGTTATTATACCAAAGACACTGTTACTTTAGTCATCAAACATGGCTAAATTGGAGAAGTACTTTCTTTTCTAGAGTTAACGATAAGGATCCCATGGAAAGATAAACCTGAAAGAGGTTTTCATAAGGGATTTAATGGAAGCAAATTATTTGTTAAAATGACAGTATTTAAATGAAGGTTTATTGTAATTAAGCAACTTAGCCAGAGAATCAGAGTGTATCTAAAAATTCAACTCTTCTGTGCATAGGTCATTAAATATCGGCTTCTGAACATATGAGCTTTCTGAAATGTTCTCTAATGCTAAGGCTCTGGGATTGAATTGTAGTTCATGGAACTTTCACAGAAACATTAACTGTCACTTATACATATGATATGTAAAGTTCCTCATGAAAAAATGTATCTTTCCCAACTGTGGCATGAATGATGGCATCCATGTCAACTTTGGAAGATATATTGATGGTGCTTGAGCCTCTGTGTGTCTCTGTCTCTGATGAAAAGTTGGACAGAGCACCTGTGTCTTATTTCACAAACACAATGTGAAATTCTTTGTTTAGCATGGACTTTTCAGTTTTATCTGCCTCAATTATGGATCACCATCTCGCCTGCATTAATGTTCAAGATCCATTCCTATATTTTTTAATGTTGACAGGAATTAAAATTTTTCCAATATAATTATTTCAATTCATCTGCTATTCTGATTTGTATGAATATCTAAAAATAAAGAACCAATTCAATTTAGCATGATAATCATATAATGCAACAGTAATTGAATGGTTTTGAGAAACTCAAAAGAGTATCAAACTTTATTATGAGTTTAGTAAAATAAAATAAACATGATAAAATGAATTTCATTCTAGGAAGGAAGAAGAGACTTTTGTAAACAAAGAAACAATGTCCTTCTTGAATGCAATGCCTGATTACTTTGAAAGAAAGTCTCCTTTTGTTTTAGTAAAACATGTTAAAAAATATGTGTTAGTAAGTTAATTTTAAATTTAACAACTCAGTAAGTACTCCTGTGTTAAGGACTGATCAAGGTCCTTTACCACATAGTCACAGCAACTATTTTTCATATCTATTGATCCTAAGGACAGACAACATAGATAATAATCACACGGACTATGGATTGACCGATAAGCATCTTCACAAATGCTCACTTGTCAACTGAAACTTTTCTTCATCAAATATCAGAGTAAAAAGTTTACAGTCTCCTGAGAATCACTTTGTAGCAGCAGTACTTTCAAGGTGAACAGAAAGGCTGGGAGACAGAACAAGGAGATTTAAAGTCTTGGTTTGCCTCTAGAAAGAAACATGTGTCTCTGTGACCAATTATACCATTCCTCAATGATTCTCTGTGGTCCATATGAAGATTATATCATGAAGATATCCACATAGGTATAATCATAAAAGAAGGTAAACTCATGAGAAAGCAGGCCTAGAGGTAGAAGTCACTAAGTTCATATTTAATAATGATAGATTTAATAGGTTTGGTTTTCAATGAAATTATTACCATCATTTCCCCTCCATATTTGTTAGACAATGCTGATAATCTTGATGCATGCCTCTTTAAACTAGAGAATGAACTTACAGACAATAAACTGTTTATGCACACACACACACACACACACACACACACTCACACACACACACACACACACACACACACACATACATACTCACACACGGTGATGGACATCAATCTCACGGCTTCTTAATGCCAGGCAAGTATTTCTTCCTCGTGTTAACAGAATTGTAACTTAGTTCATAATGAAATTCTGACAGTTTCTAGATAATTTTCTATAACAAGCTTATATATAGTTTTTTAGGCATGGTTATTTTTGTGTAGTAGGTGACTGATATGAAATCTTATTGTACTAGATACTTCTTATTCAGAAGAAATTGTTATAATGTTTGTTTTAAAACAGACAACACCACCAAAACTTCTATTATTACACCATAGCTTAGAAAAGAATATGTTGATATTATTCAAAATAGATTTTAATATTCTGCTAGAGTTAAATTTTCTCACACCAAGGCAATAAATACTTTTAAAAAATCTTGTCAAGCTGGGTAGTGGTGGTGCATGCCTTTAATCCCAGCACTCGGGAGGCAGAGTCAGGTGTATCTCTGTGAGTTTGAGCACAGCCTGGTCTACAGAGCAAGATCCAGGACAGGCCCCAAAACTATACACAGAAACCCTGTCTCGAAAAAAAAAATCTTGTCTAGATAAATATTTTTTGTTTGGAATTACTATGCCCATACTCAGCTTTTTCAGTAATGAAAATTCAATATAAATTTGAAAATGGCAATGTTTTATTAAAGATGCATGCATATGTAAATGTCCTTTTATGTTTTAATAAAATTATTGTGTAATTCTATTAATACTCATTAGTTTGTGTTTATAAAAGGCATCGTGACAATAAGCAAATTGGTATGAAAGTAGGCAACAATGGTCTTTGGCTACTGGACCTGTGACAGTGTTTATCTCTTTTCAGGTAGACAAAATTCAAATTGCCTTCATTAGCGAAACAATATGCTGTGGAAAATGAGCAAGGCACTTATCAAGAGGCTCTTCATTTGCATATTTTTGCTGCAAAACCAAGCAGCATGTTCTCTAGCTGCTTGAGATCTGTGAGTGAGGGAGAAAACAACCCAGGGAAGTAGTAAGCCTGGGCATTCAAGAACTAGATTAAAGAAAAGACAAAGTTTGTCAATAAAGATGTCAGAATTGTGCCTTGTCTTAGCTGTGCTACCAAATGACAGTCTTGTGGGCTGTTAGGAACTAGGATGTAACACTGCATGAATGCTTCTCACATCCACCAATACCACAAGCAAAGCTGGAGGCTGCTCTTATAATAAACGATCAATACTTCAGACTGACACCACCTAGCTGTTTGCTCTTGCTGCTTAAGACTCTGAATTTCAATTAAGCAGTAAATCGTTATGGAATTATATTTTCAACTGCCAATTAACATGCCCTTAATCCCTGGCAATTCTGAAACACTGTAATTTTCACAATTTTTTCTTCAAGATTCTTCCCAGAGCAAAAAATTCGTAGTTGACTGGTAAATATATTTTTCTCAAAATGAATGACCAGATATCAGATTGTTTAAGATTGCAGCTGGATGCTTACCTCAAAAGAATATTTTAATTACACTTTAAGTTACAATCCACAGTATAAATTAAGAAAAGTAGGTTGTATTCTTAAAAACATTTGGTCAAACATGTCTTGACCTAGCTGTAAGTATTAGGTCATATTACATTTGAGTTTTTTTTTCACTGACACATTCCTTGGAAAACTTTTTAAATCAAATGAAACACATAAGCATTCCTAGTACTGGTCCCACTCAAAAGTAGTGTAAACATTTTCCTTTCCTACATAATCAAATCCTCATTTGTTTTTGTCAGTAAATTTGTTTATTTATAAATGTTCTGTCGGCTACCTAATGGAGCAGAGAACTAAAGTTTAGTATTGCTTTTATTGAGGATTATAGTAATTTAAGAGAAAATATAGACAGATTGAAAGATGTAATATTTATGAAATATTTAGATAATTTAAATTTATGAGGCCACAAAGCTAAATAAATGCAACTGGCAACATTCAACTATGTCTGCCAATGTTTTAGTATTAGCAATAAAATGTTATAAAAAAGTTAAATATATTCTACACACAGCCTACATTGAAAACACTTCTACTTCCAGGGTTCACAGCCTACTACATAAATTACACAATACAGATTAAAACAAATATATTTCAGGCTATTTGAGACAATGGTTAGTTAACCAACATTTAAACATAAATCTGTTTGACTATAAAGCTTTGGCTTTTTATTCCTCTATAAAAAATTCTATGACATTCTCTCATTAGCTTCAGAAAACTTAGTAATAATGCAAGCCTAATTTAATATTGTAAAATGGAGAACTATTAACTTCAAAGATCGAGTTAGTATCACAATTTTATTGTGGAAAACATGTAGATTAATTTGTCCTATGAAACTGATGGTTAGTTTCAAATTTAGCCTTACTAAATTTACACTATTCATGACCTTACTAACCTCTATGTATCCTAAAAGAGCAAGGTAATTAACAAAATCCCTTCAGCTAAACGTTCTCGTGAACTACAAAACTTAATTCCATGACTAGGATTAATTCATCAAAGAGGGATTAAAAGTTTTATTAGCTGATTAGTTCCCATCAAAGTAAAACACACTGTAGTAGAACACCATTGACAAGAGTGAGGAGGGGAAATTATTTAGGTGTGGACTATAGGAATGAAGGCTTTGACCCCTAAGGAGTCACAGGATTCTTAGGTCTGACAAAACTGATTTTTAAAAACATAATCTATAAATGCACATTTTTATACGAGGGGATCCCTACATTTAACAACAGTAACTCATTCTTGGATTGTATTTTCCAGCTCTTACGCTGCTGTTGTGTATCAGAACATAATGATAACAATAAGACAATGGACAGATAGGTTATAAAAATGCAAAACGTTTGCTTATGAGACAATATACATAGTATTAAGATAATTAAACACATAGTCATGTTCTATCCCATTGAAATAGATGAAAGACAAAAGAGAAGGAGAAAGGGCCATAAATAAGAGGGGTGATGTGATAATAGCACTGAAGATAATATAAAATATACAGTGCAGGACACTGTGTATGTCAGAGTATATTTCACATGAAAAAATGTGTATATGATGAATATCTCATGACTTTAGTGATAAACTATAAATTATTTTAAGAAGTAATGATTTACAAAAACAATGTAATCAGTGTTCACACTTATACCTATTCCTTCAAAGAACACATACATATGTATACAATGTAATAATTCTGATCAATTATTTCCCTAAAATATAAAAAGCCTTCAACACTGCTTTTATAATTTACAAGTAATATATGGACTCTCTACCTTAAGTTTAGAAAATTATTTAAGCATTCTAAAATAAAAGAGGGATCATTAATCTTGACAAGAAATGATGCACTTACCATCATGATTGGGATTTCCCAGTGTCCATGGCTCATCAGAATCAAAATGAGTATCTCCTCCAATTCCTGGTCCAGGGAAATAGGCATGTGCCAAAAATCCTCCCTCCCCATCAAAGGGGGAACTGTCTCCATGAAAACCGGATGCAAAAATGATGGTTATATCCACATCACGTTTGCCATTTTCTAGTTCACTGTAGGGAACTTCTTCAAATGTTAGTGGAGTTACATTCTGCCACACATCAAAGGCACGGCGAATTGCTCTCCTGGTCTCAGGGTCTCCAACTTTTGGAGTTACGTTCTTTATACTGAAAGTTGGAAAAGATAATGATCAGTGTGTCTTCTTGTATGTAATTTGAATTATTGCAATTCTTCACTTTTTTTAGTTCAGAATTAGCAGAGAATATGGCTGTATTATACAGAAATAGAATTTATTCATGTTTATTGACTTTATAGACACTGTTCATTACACGGGGTTATTTCATTATCATCAAGGGAGCATTCGTGTGCCAAGGCTATTAGGGAGGTCTATGTAGGAGGCTAGTGGGAGGTAGGATGATAGATCAATCAGTTTGCCAAGAGATCAAGCAGGTGCAGCAGCTTAGAGCTGAAATAAAACCCCAATTTCCTTTTTATTTCCATCATTGCAGAGGTATATCACTGTAATTATCCAATCAAATAATATCTTTAGGCTTACATCTATGAACGCCAACTCAGCATGAAGCAAGTTTTATTTATTGTTTTTAAAACAAAGGCCCAGTTACTGTGGTCTCTGATATTCTTAACTAAGTCTTTCCAGCAAACAAAACAAAACTAAATAAAATGGCAACTTACAACAAAGATTTACAAATTTTATGAATTTAAATCAAAGCAGGAAAAAATAAAAATGTTACCTTGACATTATAAGTTTCACCCTGGCCTAACATTAATATAAATTGATGAAGCAAAATTACTGTTTTTGATTCATTTAACACTAATCATATATATAGATGATTTCCTGATAATTTCTTTAAAATACAGCATAAATGGAACTTTATATATAATTTTATGGTGCAGAATACAGTCACTCTGTGCATTTTGAATTAACAGACAGATAATACAAAGTTGATAGGTTTCAAATCCTTTCAGTTAGTAATACTCTGCACAGAAGATTACATCAAGTAAAACCTTTACTAAACAAATGCTGTGATGTTCAATGTAATATAGCTTGCTGTACAGACATCAAAGATAACCGGGAGAGCTGCCATTTACAATGACAGTGATGTAGCCAAGCTATGGTATCTAAGCTGAATGACATTCCTTATATAGGACTAAAATTTAGTTTTATTTTTCAGATCTATTTCTCAATATTACAAACATTTGAGATGTACTTTCTAATATAAAAGTAACATTCTGATTGTATACAAGTAAGTTGCATGTAATCATTACAAATGCTATAATAATAATAACCTTATTTGTGCATTAAGAGTGTGACAAACACTTAATATGCCTTATTTAATCCAACCAACAATACATGGAAATGAGTATTAATACCTAATTTACAAAAATGTTACAATTTATATGAATTTAAAGGAAATCTTCTGATGAGTTTTTTCCTAAACACTCTTGAGAGTCCATTGTCTTGGAGTCCATATATACCATACATCTAAAAATAAGCTTTCCTTTCTTTATGACATATAGTCCATACCTTATTTACAGTTTAGAATGCTGCTGAACATTATTTATTCTATACAAAAGGACTAAACACCAACAAGCAGAACAAGGTTGGAGTGATCCAGGAAGCCAAAGGTGGTAAAAGGCCATGAAGTGGAGATTTTCCAGCAGTTTCTAAGAGCCACAAAGTAGCTTGTGTAGTTGGAGCAGTGAGAAAGGTAGAATCAGAGGGTTTTATTCATTTTGTTTTGTTTTATTTTGTTTTCAGTTTTCTTAATTTTTCTCAGAACCGAGCTGAATGGTGAACTTTTAGAACAAATCTCTAGCATTTACTGTTGACAGAAACTTTTTTCTACATAGCATTAAAATCATCTGTATGCTTATTTTGCTCATAATTTTTAAATATTATATTTTTATCAATGCCCTCCCCTTCACTTTTTATATATTGTTTTGTGTGTAGGAAGAGCCAATAGAGCATTAGGAATGACTCTTGACATTGGACTTCTGCCATGAATAAATGATTCCAGCCACTATGAGGAGTGTATACTGTGGCAGAGAAAATGCTGAAATGGAAGATTTTAAGGACTTTTGCAAACCCCCAAATGTGAGAGGGTCAAACAATAAATTAAGTGGTGCCAGTAAAGAGAGGATGTATTTTTGAGGGTACACACACAACTAAATTTAACAGCAGTGGAAGGATGGTTAGAAGCAACCAACTGCTTTCTGCCTGCTCGGGGATGGTTGTTCTTCAGTTTGTGCTAGTCTTATCCTTCATTCAGCAGAGTGTCCTACATTATATTTTGAGAAAGAGGAAGTATCTGCTTGGAGGCATCAAGGTCTTTGCAGCTTGTTAGAACTCATTTCCCATCGTGAGGCAGAAGAGATGCATGCCAAGTGAAGGCATCATTCTTATTTTTTTGCAAATGAAATTACTAGTAGTCATTTATCCTCTTTAGACATTGTGGGACTGCAAAAGTGCTAACGGCATGGGATTTGAAAGGATTTACTGCAGAACAGTACTTATCTAGATGCTAGACTATACTCCAAGAGAGCTTGTATAGTTTTCTAATAAGACATAGGAATTGAAAGAGGAAAAACAGTGATGATCTACGGTGACAACTGAGTGAGTAGGCAAACAAAAGATGCTAAATGTTGCTTTATTGACAGGATGGACCAATGACACTTATCATTTAGTGTCTAGACAAAGTAACAGTCAGTAGGAAGCAAAACTAAATTTGTCCATTTAAAAAATAGAGCTGGATTGAGGTGTTATAAAATGACCATAAAAGAGAAGGTCATGAAATGAGAGAGGACTGACAGGGAGATACTATTCTATAGAAGGAAGATTCTAGAAAGGTGTAAGCATAGAAGCCCTCTAATTTGTATTTCCATTACAAATATGACTACCCCTTATGGAAAATGTATAAAAGGGGAATAATGATATGAAAAATTGTTTCACTAACTCACACAGAGAATAGGCAGGAACATGCGAAGAATGATGGCACTGGAGACATGGAGAACATGTTTTACTGTATATTTTGAGAGAACTGTGAGTGGAGATTAGTAAGTCAACATATAATGGAGAAATGGATTTTATTTCAAGTAAATGGTAACCTTAAATGATGAAAACGAGTGTGGTTATGTGAGTATGAATTTTAGATGAGTTATTACAGGCTATGAGAAAAAGAAAGCAATATGGACAATATAGACTAACACGCATTGTACACGCTTTAACTTGAAAAATGTCACTGTTTTTAGAGGCCATACACAGAGGTGCTTGCAAAAATAAGCTTCACCATGCTATATGTGATATTATTTATGAATAAATATAAACCATACATGTGTACTTCTGATCCAAGTTGGGAGATTAATACAGGAGACTCAGAAAACAAGATGTCACTGAAGGATGTACTTCTTAATCACCATTTATATTACCTGATAAATGAGTGGCACCGAGAGATCATGGTGTCATGATAGCAAAATAAAGTGGGTAGCCTTAAATTTTTAATATGTAATGCACAAATAACTAAATGTTAGCCATATGAAAAGGCAGTACTATAAAAAGAGGAATACCAATATTTTTGACAACTGTAATGAAGCTGATTTAATTGAAAAATCATTACTTGCATATTTCCTTTTATAGATAAAGAGAATAATCATTTAAAAATGGATTTTATTTGCCCAAGTGTTTATCTGGCTATTTTATGAAGAATCTCACCATGTTTTTCAAATTTTCTTTCTGATAATATTTGGAACTTTAATCTAAAAATTATACCCCAAACAAGACAACCTTAAACTGATTAAAGCAAAATGTGTATAGTTCTTATTTATCAGAATAATTGGCACTGGTATCAAAATGGGTGACCTGGCATTATTAACTATGAAGGCTGAGGATTTCTACTCTTAACATCATTATGTACTGTGCCAGTTAATTACATGATAATGACACATAGGAAGGTTGCTACTTTAATTTTTCTTATGGTGGTAATTTTTTTCAAAATTAGATTGCAGTTACACCTTTGATATTGGAGGTAAGAACAAAGATAAATGCCTTGGAATTGAATTAAGATATAGAAACACTGTAAAACTCTTTCTTGAGATCATTATTATTTGAGAGGCTTAAATTATTTATGTGAGTGAAAGGCCTTCTCTTACATAAATTATCAATATTCATTGTTTTCTGGGCTTATAGATAATTTTCTGGCTTTTTTTGGTCTCCCATAGTCTGTAGTGAAGAACTTTGTTATTGCATGATCTCCATATTGGAGAACATACAGTCAAAATAGAAAAAATCAGCCACACAAAAACATTCAGAAACAGCTGAAACTCTGGAATTATCAAACCAGTTATTCAAAATAACTCACCAATATGTTAGAATCTTAATATAAATGTAGCTAACAAAAATTATAGGGTGTGTGTGTGCATGTGCACATGCATGTGTACATGCGTGTCTGTGTGTGTATGTGTGTGTGTGCATGTGTGTGTGTGCATGCGTGTGTGTGCATGTGTGTGTGCATGTGTGTGCTTTAGCCATGTAATAGAAACTATAAGAAATGAAGTAAAGTGCACGGCAGAAATAAAATAGCACATGAAACAAATGAAGACTATCTCTGATATTCTTATTATGGCCAAGGAAAGAATCAGTGAATTCTAAAATACCGCAGGAACTTCCTAAACTGCAAGGTACAGCAAAGAAAAGATGAAATCCAGAACAGATAATCCAGGAACTATGGGGAAATAGATGTAAAGATTATACTCAAAGGAAGAAGAACAGCTGTAATAATGTCTAAGAATGTTTCAACATTAACAACAGAAACCACATTACTGATCCATGAAACTCAGAGCACATAAAGGAACAGCCCCAACCATACCAGAATCATATCTGTAGAGGAGCAAAGCAAACAATTATAATTAGAGTTCTCTTTTTAAAAAATGCAAGAAGAAAGCAGTACAGAATGTTTAAAGTGTTCAGATAATAAATAATAAAACTACCAACCTAGAAATCAGCATCCAGTGAAATTAGCATTCAAAAGTGAAGTAGAAAAAAATAACTTGTTCAAAGAAAAACTAAGAAATTCTTGTCAGTAGGCTTTTCTGACAAGAAATTTAAGACTTCTTCAGAGATAAGATCAGAAATTCAGATCTATATAAAGAAAGGAAAATTATTAGAGAAGGAATATACTTCTTTTCTTAGATACTGCAAAGCAAACAAAATATGTGAAAACAATACTTAAGCCTGCAATAAAATGAAATGCTAATGAATTACTCTTTTGATTATAATATTTAGTATATATACATATATATATATATACATATATACCATCTGTATGAGAAAAAGTAGAAAATTCTGACATAGAGTAAAATATAAATAAGCAGTAAAGTAGTCATGTTTGTGGATAGGAAAACTCATTATGTTAAGGTTTAGTTCTTTGTTACTTGATCAGTAGATATAATGCATTATTAATCAAAATCATATTCAATTATTTTATATATATGAATAGATGGATTTTGATGTTGATGTTGAAATTTATGAAACTCAACATAATCAACATGATACTCAAAAAATATATGCAGGCAACTAAAACCACTAGATATTATAGTAACTTTCAAGTTAGTAATTGAGATAGTATGATATTGATTAGAGCAGACATATCAGGAATGGAAGTGAAGAATAAGCCCAGAGAGTGACCAATGCAGACAAGTCAACTACTGATCTATGACAAATGAGTGAAAGGAATATAGTCTGAAAAATGCAGATCTTCTCAGCAATATTTCTGGGGAAGATGAAGTACACACACACACACACACACACACACACACACACACATACACACACACAATCCACATATGCATTTACATGAGAGTAAATACAGTTGTAGTTAATGTGCACATCTTACATATTGTTTCAAAAGTAATTGAAAGTAGAGTGTGGGATGTAGCTCAATTGGGAGTTTTTAGCTAGCATGGAGGAAGCCCTGGGTTTGTTAATCATTACTATATAAACATGCTCTGTGTTGCACTCCTGTAATGCCAGCACTCAGGAGGTAATGGATGATACTGAACGACTAGAAAACAAGTCAAAGGATCATCTAGATGTCCTTGGTTTTGATGGTATATTTTTCTTATTTATTTATTTATTTATTTATTTATTTATTTATTTATTTACTTCACTCTCCACAGCAGTTTTCCTTCCCTCCCCTCCCTAGTCCCTCCCCACCTTCTCTCTGTCTCCACTCCCCATCAACTACTCCTCAATTTCTATTTAGAAAAGGGCAGGCCTCCCATGGATATCAATAGAACATGACATATCAAGTTGCAGTAAGACTCAAGTACCTCCCCTTGTATTAACTATGGGCAAGACAACCCAGTATGAGGAATAGAGTCCTAAAAGCCAGCAAAAGAGTCAAAGACAGCCTCTGCTCTCACACTTAGGAGTCCCACAAGAAGACCAAGCCACATAACTGTCACATATATGCAGAGGGACTAGGTGAGTCACATGAGGCTCACTGGTTGTCAGTTCAGTCTCTATGAGCACCTATGAGCCCAGGTTAACTGATTCTGTGGGTTTTGTCTGATGTCCTTGGACTCTTCTGACTCCTCAAATCCTTCCCCCCACTCTTCAGCAGGACGCCCAGAGCTTGGCCCAATGTTTGACTGTGGGTCTCTGCATCTGTTTCAACCAGTTGCTAGATGAAGTTTCTAATGACAATCTCACTCAGGATAAATATACAACAACAGCTAGGTCAATATTTCACCACCAGAGGCCAGGCATCTCACTACAGTAAGCCATGACAGTATATTTTTAGACACTACATATAACAACAAAGGAAGAAACTTGGGTGGACATTATTAGAATTAAAACAATTGCTCTAAAATCAATCACAAAGACAATGGAAGCGTAGGCCACAAAACAAGAAATGTTGAAGATACAACTGATTAAAGGCTTACTGAAGAAATGATGTCTCTTAAACAAGAAAGCCATCTAGTTATTAATCAGAAAATATGAGGAAACATTTCACCAAAGTAGATATTCTGAGAGTATGCAAAGTGCAGATGATGCTGAACATTATATTTCACTAAAGAAAACATCCAGGTACATTATCTCCGTCTCCATGAACAATGAGAATTCTGCAAATGTGTCTTAACTAGTTTTATGGCCACCTGACAAGCCAGATACATTTAGTAAGAGAGACTCTCAAATAAGAAAATGCCTCCTAAGATCCAGCTGTAAGGAAGCCTGTTAGGCACGTTCTTATTAGCGATTTCTATGAGAAGGCCCAGCCCATTGTCCTTGGTGCCAACCCTGAGCTGTTAGGCCTGATTTCTATAAGAAAGCAGCCTGAAGAAGGCAGAAGGAGCAAGCCAGTAAGCAGCACTCTGTGTCAGCTCCTGCATCCAGGGTCCCACTAGATTTGTGTTCCTACTCTTTGCTTCCCTCAATGGACTATGACTAAGGATATGTAAGACAAATAAATCCTTTCCTCCTCAAGTTGCTTTTGGTGTTTCATCACAGCAACAGTAACCCTAACTAAGACATGCTGTCAAATCAATTACAGTTTCAAACTCTTAAACCTAATGTCAGAGAGATTATAGGCAAACAGAGTTTTCAGGTATCACTGGTGATGATTCTAAATGGAACATCGAGCAAATAAGAAAAGCTATATTGGCAGTTTTATAAAGAGCTCACGCCAGTTTTAATATAAAATAAACAATCACTCTCCTTGGTACTTATTCAAATTATCTAGAAATTTATATGCACACAAAAAACTTGTGCAAAAATGTTTATACTACTCACATTCCCGAGAAACCCAGAAAACAACTGAGATGGTTTCAATAGATGGTTAACTAAGTAACCTGTAATATCTTTACAATGGATTATTATTGAGTAATAAAAACAAATGAGCTATCAAGTCACAAAAAAGATGTGAAGAATTCTTAGATGCATCTCCATAAGGAGAAGTGAGTTGGAAAAGACATTATGCCAGACTACAACTAAATGGCTATACATAAAAATCCATGCTCACATTGACAATAACAAAATAAGTAAGTGCTAGGGTTTTGGAGGGAAGAGAGATGAATAAATTGGTAGGACATTGGATTTTTTAGGGCACTGAAAGTACTTGTATAATACTGTAGATATAGATATATGATATCATATACCAGCCAAATACATAGAACCAGACAGGGTGAATGGTAGTTTAAACCATTAAACCAAATTTCCTCCATCAGGAATCAAAAATGATTCTGGATCATCAGATCTGCAAATGTGCCACACTAAACAAAATATGCTCAACAGCAGAAACTGTGCTGTTCAAGATTCATTGGTGTAAAATTGTTGTGAAAATGAAATCTTACATTATTTAAGATGGCCATAATTTTTATTATTTTGAAATTGCTTAGAATTATGCTAGGCTTTATGAATAGAAATGTAGAGTATGAGTGACAGTAATTTCAATGTTTCAAACTCTTATATTTTTAATGTTTATTACCTTTCTAAATACCTTCTCTGTCACTGTATGAGGCAAAGAATTGATTTCAATCAGCCTTGTATGAAGTATATGAGTGCTTTTCAATCATTCTCCAAAGTTCTCACTATGTACTACTTGATATGAAGTTCATTAGAGCAAGAAGGATAGCTCATTGGACAGCAGGCATTAATATTGCCATTGCTGGGAAGATATAAACAGTATTCCATATTAATTTCTGGGAATAATATTTAACTTTCTTTTCCAAGCACATATAGTGTAGTGGTATAAAATGTTTCTGAAGTGAAATGAATAACCCCATGAAAAGATTAAATGTCGGTTAATACTAACTTCATCGAAAGAGCCAAGGTTTTTTTTTTTTTTTTTGTCTTTATCTGAAGAGCAATTAACATAATTTACATAAGATAATTATCTAGTGTCATTCTATCTGGGAGGACAATATGAGATTATAAAGTAATTCTGAGCAATGTTTCTCCTCTAAATCATCAAAATAAATACAAACACCATATTAGAGTTGTATATAGAAAAAAAACAAATCATTTTAATGTTATCTTTAAACATCTCATTAAGTCTTATTTGTGAAAATAATAAGAATTATAAAATTCCTTTTCTACTCATATAATTTGATTGAAGTATTTCTTGGCATACCCTCTACATAAAGTGTCTTTCATCTTCTAACCATTGGTTTAACAATTTCTTTCAAATATTCTTATGGGCCTTGGCTAAGAAGACTCATTGAGGCTAAGAAACTTCATTGAGAAGACTCCCTGGGTTTCTAGAATGCCTAGAACAATCCTGATGTTTTGAGGATGTGTCTTGTTTCTTCCTTTTCATATAGTTATCACATTTATATAACTGTTTATCCTCTACATTGCTATGCATTCTCAAAGAAAGAACAGGGTCCTCAGGCTTTAATTGCTGTTATCTCCCTGGGCTGAGCACTGTTCTTTATCCACACTTAGAGCAGTACTAGGTCAGTGGGTAAAAAAAAAAAAAAAAAAAAAAAAAAAAAAAAAAAAAAAAAAAGATTTCCAATAAAGTAGTGGTAACCTTAGGTTGGATATAATTTTGCATCATTGAAGACAACAAAGAAAGCATGTCAAGTTCAATAATTACCACAGGGAAAAAAGGCAAAATGTTAATAATGCTACCACAGTTATTAACCATTTACTTCAAAAGCATTTTGTTTAAAAGGTAGACTTATAGACTATTGCTTGTTTATTTTTTAGGCTTTTAAATACTTGAAAAGAGTGCACTGAATTAGAAGCCTCATCTAAAAATCCCTCAGAATATTAACATCTTTTGGAAGTTGTGAGGCACAAGATACAAGAGACCAACAATGTCAAACAATGTCTGCAAGGTCCCCTAAAACCCATTTCATTCTCTTCCTATTGCACTTGAAAATCTCTAGGACAATATAACACCACTGATTACTTACATGTAGTCCATGTTCACCAAATAACATGTATCAAACAAAATGTCAAAGCAACAGAAATGAAACAGGGTTGGGGTAGGGCTGAGTGCTTGTACCTGTAAGTGATGTGTTTGTGTTGCCACTTCTGGCCAGTTAGTGCGTAGCGCTTTCGACGAATGTTGAATTTGGAGCTGCCTCTTGTCTGGTCTGGTACACCACAGCGAGGCTTCTTCATCCAGCTGAAAAAGAGTGGGTATTTTTCAGCAATTCTTCTTAATGATTTCAAAACATTTGTGGGAAACAGCAACCCACAAAGGAAAATGGTTCATGTTCAATGTTCTTACAATTTAAATCTAAATAGATGGCATACATTTTCAGAAAGAGTTAACACTTACTATGTTACTATTCAAATTCTTTAGTGCATTTACTTCCCCCAATGTACTTTGAGATAACTGCACGAAAAGAAGTTACTTGAAATTTCTATATAGAATCCACTGTTGAAAACTATGCAACCTTGAACAAATCTTCACTTCCTCACCTTATCTATAAAAAGACACTAGGGTATGCTAACATTCTCTGTGTTGTGTTTTTTATTTTACAGATTAATTTCCCATTATAACTTCTGAGTACAATATTCCATTTTAATACCTAGTATAATATTTGACAATATGTAATTAAAATTATACTATTGCGTGACAATATCTCAATATATTTCATTATAGCATCTCATTATAATATGGTTGGCAAAAGAAAGTAATTCTACAGTTGTAAGATTTTTTTATTCTCTGTGACAGGATTTCTCTGTGTAACAGCCCTCCCTAGCTATCCTGGAACTCATTCTGTAAATCAGGCTGGCCTCAAACTAACAGATTCTCCTGCTTTGGCCTCCAGACTGCTGGGATTTAAGGCGTGCACCACCATGCCCATCTTGAGTCCTACAATTTGATCAAAGACTTTCAGCACATTTTTGCATGGGATATGAGTTAACACTTTTTAAACATAATATTTCTAAATTTTATTTCATGAATATGGATGTTTTGCCTGAGTAGATGTCTCTGTGCCTTGTGGATGCTTGGTGCCCGCAGGGTCAGAAGAGGGAGTTGGATCCCTTGGAACTGGAGTGATTGTGGATGATTGTGTTCCACCATAAAGATGTTGGGAATTGAACCCAGATCCTCTCAACGAGCAGCCAGATGCTGAACCATCTCTCCCATCAGCTGCACAGATTTTTACATCTCCTTCTAATGGCAGGTTTCACTATGGCAGAGGCCCTCTCCTCCAGTCTTGAGAGCAGTATATTGCTTGTTCATATGGTGCTAGCATTTTTCTATTTCTCCTTTATTTTCAATCATTATTCATGTTTCCAAATGATAATCAAACTCAATAGTTATAAAATATTTTTCAGAGTAAGCAGTTCAGCATCACAGAATGAAACTCAGTGTTGAAATGAAATGCTGTTTCCATGTATTAATTTTACTGAGTAGTCATGTGTCACAGCCTAACCTGTTTTCTAGGACATGGCATTTGATCACTGTCATGTTTATTACCTACCCTTGAATCTTGTTTAAGCAGAGAGGTGTTAAGGATTTTCAATAGTTTCCCTCACAATACATTTCTTTTTTCTGTTCCTTAGCCTCTTTACTATCAAGATCACACCCAATCTTCTTGTTGCTACATGAATCAGAAAGGATATGAAAATAATTTGGTTTTCTGTATTTCATCACATATGTGAGTTTTTAAAATATTTGAAATGCATTTGAATTTAGAAACGGCTGCCTATGAATATGCACTGTATAACCGGGTACTTTCATGTGCACTCAACATCCTGGCACCTGGAGGGGAGGCCCCCACAGGTTTGTGAATTCGAGGCTGGCAAAGTCAAAACCATTCCCAGACAGATGAAGAAACAGAATGACGCTGATGTGGAAATGTGTGTGTTTACTTCTTATGTTTGGTGTGCTCTCCTATTGCTTTTGTTGCTGTGTCATTGCAAAACCGATGCATGCTTACGCTAGAACGACGTCAAAGTGAAAAAACAAAACCTTTTGTTTTTTGAAAATGAGTTAACTTTTTAGAAGTTGCTTGCTTATACTACCCATGTATAAGAATATTAACATACACCAATGCAATTACTTACATTACAATAAAGGTAACACCTTTAAAGTAAAGATTAAAAGTATATTTATTATTATTATTATTATTATTATTATTATTATTATTTTCAGAGTAATGGGGATATCACAGTCACCAGATGTAGCCAAGCTCATTCTAGTCTCAACAACGTAATTATGAGGAAAATCACTCCTTTTCCCAGTCAAATGGGATGCATCCTAACTCCTAACTCCTGGGAGGCCCCCCTAGGTTTCAAGATTAAACACTGTAGCAATGAGTATTTCCAGTCACTTTGACTTCTGCTTTTATGTTCAGGAGAGCATCCCATTCCAATATCAGATCTTTCTAGTTCTTTGATAACAGATATTACAACAGCTATCGGTTCTCACAATTTTCATAAATATCCACCAGCTCCCAAATAACACACTTTACATAAACATGTAATGTACCTCTTCTGCAACCAAAACAGTGCCCATTAGCTTTAGTAAAAATTGGCTTTATAATTACATCAGTTTTTACACCCCAGACTGTGAATTCCAGCCAGTCTGTGTCACTGGGTGATGGATAAAGGGTTCTGCAATGCTTCTGAGGTTAGTTTGGACATCCTCATCCCAAGTAATCTTCTAGCTTCAGCCTTTCCAATATCTGTGATTATGGCTCAGCACAGTTGTGGTTCATGTATCTGGGACACTGCGGCAGGCAATGCTTCTGAAGCAGCACTGATCAGGGAGAAAAGGGACAGCCAGCTTGCACAGGTGTAATTGGTCACCCCATTAGTTTGGTGTACTTGGATCTACATTTACTGAGAGAAAAATTCGTTTCAAAAATATTCTGCAATAGGTTAGACATGCCTTCATCATGCAGACATTCCAAATTTTAATAAAATGAAAGAGTGATAGCTGCTGTTTAGAGTTGGTCCCAGATCTTTCTAGGAATACTCAAATATGCTTCTTTTATTATTTTAAAAGATAGGCTGTATCATCATGGAGAGGACTAGATCTGCCAGGTATACAGAGATTGTTAAAAGCAATTTTACACAGCTCAAACATTGAGGGCTTATTTTCTCTACATATATCAGCTCATTAACTGCCTCCCTGGACACACATACAACTCAAAAGACAGAAAGTGCAAAGATAAAACACTGAAGTACATGATGACAAGGAAGAATGTAATGGTCACCACAATCATCAAAAAGAACAATTGTCTGTTGTCTTGCACTTGTTAATGTGTTACCCTCCGGATAAGCTCTAAGCCTCTGACTTACCTACCAACCATGTCTGCTGTGACTAAAGGGAAGGCAGACAGTCCACTAAAGCAATTCTCTTTGAAAGTTATTGCCATACTCAGACAGTTAAAAAAAAAAAAAAAAAAAACATCCAGATGGTGGTGGCGCACGCCTTTAATCCCAGCACTTGGGAGGCAGAGCCAGGCAGATCTCTGTGAGTTCTAGGCCAGCCTGTTCTACAGAGCAAGATCTAGGACAGGCACCAAAACTATACAGAGAAACCCTTTCTCGAAAAAAACAAAAAGCAACACACACACACACACACACACACACACACACACACACACACACATTAAAAAAAAAAAACCTTACCAAAGATCACATTTTTTTCCCTAAATTTAGAAGTGTTACTATTAGGGTATCAACTTGACAACCTGGACAAAAGAATAAAAATTAAAATCATTGATAATTGCATGAAACAGTATTGTTCTTGGCATTACTAATTAATTATCCCGATTTAAAAAAAAAACTAGGATTTTAAGTACTACTTTATTTTCATAGTAAATTTTTAGAAATGCTACTTAGAAAATAAGAGTTTGTCATTTTAAGAAAAAGTCTATTTTATAAGTTGGCAGTATTTGAGGAGATAAAATACAATTTTAAGTCTTATATTAAATATTTATAATAATTAGAATGTATTGAACCCAATAGAATGAGACTGTATTTTCAATATGTAAAATGTAAATTTTTTCTATATTTTGACAGTCCAGGGTTCTGTCAGCTAAACTTTATCATATATATATGATATGATATGATATATATATATATATATATATTATATGACTAATTGGGTGGAGAACTTCACCATTGAAAAGATAAATAAATATTTCTGCTTCTTCAATATTTATCATTTAAATTTTACTTTATTTTAATTTACAAATGCATCGGTGTGGTTGTTTTGCCTGCACACATATCCATACACTTGATGCATGAAGTGCCCACAAAGGCCAAAAGAGGACAGAAGATTTTTTGGAATGGGATGTCCAGATGGTATGAACTACAAATGAGTGCTAGAATTAGGGTCTTGATCTTCTTGAACACCAGTGAGCTTTTAACATGGAAGTCATTTCTGTAGTCCAATGTTTACCACTTTAAATAGAGGAACACCAAGAAATGGAGTACTCTAGGAATTTCTATACAAAGTAATGATTTTTGTTTGAATACTTTTTGTTTTACCATCCCCAACTCTTCCAACTACATATAAGGGCATGAAAGCAAAATAGAAGGCAGCATTGCAAATTGAATTCTCATCTTTGTAGTGAAACTTTGCTTTCTGACTTGAGTAACTTCCCACTTTGCTGAAATGAAAGCTAACCTACAATCTCAAGTGTCAGCATTTAAAAAGGCCATTGCATGCACGCCCCAAACTTCTTTGGAATGTTTAGTGTTCTTCAGAGAACTAGGGGTACACAAATGAATAATTCATACTCCCAGAGAGTACTCAGCCTGGGGATTGGAGCAAAGACGGTAATTAAAATATACAGTTTAAGTTCTGTACTATGGCTCAGCACTCAATGTTGGGCATCTCACATGTACTTGTAACTCCAGCTCTGGAGAATGTCATTCCCTCTTCCAGCGATTGCAGGCGCCTGCACTCACATGCACATAACCACACACATACATAATGAAAAACTATATTTTGTTTGTAAATGTAATGTGTTTGTAAATATTTTCTTTGCAAATTTTAAGACAATACAATAAATAATAATCACAAAATAAAAAGAAATGCTACTTAGAGTTAAAACAGTTCAAATAAAAATATTAGCATGTGTTGAATAAGTTATGTGGCATTATTTAGATCATCAGAACTATTAAACATGCACACACATATATCAACATACACAAAATGTCATATATATGGAAGTAGAGAGAATGTTAACCACTGTAAGAGATAACTCTTTCATCAAGCATTCTTCACTATACACTACTGTGTGTATATTAAACATGAACCAGCAAAAACAATTACATTTAAAATTAGAAAAAAATCAGGCATGCCCTACATAATGAGCTTGTATTTCTCAACTTGATAAAATATAAGACTATAAGATTGTCTTTTCATTAAGGAATTTAAGTGAGCTTTTTTAAAATAAATAAGGTAACCAACTTACAATTAAAAGAATTATTATACTATTAGACAATGGATTTAGTTTTTGGTGGAGAACAAATGCTACTCTCGTTCCAATGCCAGTTCTAAGGAGCAAAAAAGTAATAAAATATTCTATTCAAAGCAATACCTGAATTTGTTACTTGGAACTGGTTAATTACTTCAACATAATACAAGGATTACTGCAATTGGAATAATCACTTTTAATTACCCAGGAATTATAGATTAACTGTACCACATGTCTGTCTGCCAAAGGAGGATTTTTTTTTTAATTTAAAATCAAATGAAGGGCTAGAGTGCTGGTTCAGTGGTTGTGAATGCTTATAGTTCTTGTAGAGGAACTGGGTTCAGTTCCTGAGCACCCAGATCGAGCAGCTGACAATAGTTTATAACTCAAGCTCCAGGGGTACTTGCTGTCCTGTGCACATGCTTCCCTACACACACTCTCACAGACATACCTAACTAAAATAAAATACATCTTTAAGATCTGACCTGGACAAAGGGGCACTTGCCTTAACCAGCACTCAGGATGGGGAAGCAGGATGTATGAGAGCAAGAATAGTGTGGCTACCTAAGATGTTGGAGGCAGCCTGGAGGCTACAGGAATGCAGTCTCCAATGAACAAGCAAACATAAATAACAGTGAATTAAATATATAAATAAGTGTCCATGAAGAAATAAGTGGCTCGATAACATTTATAGATCACTTCTCAAATGACTGACCATGTTTCAATAAGCCTGAAAGTGCAGTAAGTATTTTATTCTCTTTGTTGTTTCGAAATACACTCTATCAATCATAGGCTGGTATGTAGGTATTGAATCTGAACTTACATCATCATCACTGGGCAGTGTCTGACGGAGAATGGCCTCCACAGTTGTCTATGTAAATACTTGGTCTGCAGTAGGTGGAAAGCCTGGGGAGAGTTGGCTGGTGTGACCTTGCTGGAGGAGATGTGTCCCTTGGGGTAGGCTTCAAGGTTTCAAAAGCCCACAGGATTACCAGTTACTTCTCTGCCTCTTGGCTTGTCTCAGGATGAAAGTTTTCAGCTATTGATCCACAGCAATTCTCCCGCTTGCCACTGTGCTCTCTACTATGACAGTCATAGACTCACCATTTGAAACTGTATGGCCCAATAAACTCTTCTAGAAGTTGCCTTAGTCATGGTGTGTTGTCAAGTAATTTAAGTGTAACTAAGACAAGCAGCAAACACTCTTACCTGAGGGGCCATCTCTCTGGCCTCATTTTTTTCTGACAAGGTTTCACTCTCTATCCAGAACTTACATGAAACTCACTTTGTAGACCCAAATGGTGTCACAGTTATGTCAATCATCCTGCTTCCACTTCTTATCTAATGATATTACAGGCGTGGGTTATCATATCTTATAATCTATGTAAAGTAATAGATTGCAATTTCCACAAGATTGTCATTATATACTCATTTAAATTAAAAAAAAAGCACAGAACAGAACAATGCTTTTATAGCACGATTAGAGGGCTTATACTTCAAAATATTTGACATGAGTAACCTGAATCAAAACATCTCAGGATTAGATATTTTATTGAAAAAATCGACAGCAGGCAAATGAGGTCATGGGGCTTCCAGTTTCAGCAACAATAAGGAATAAGGCCAAGCAATGTAGAACAAAGGAGGAACTTCATAGAAGAGAGAGGGGAGAGACAAAACCAAGAAGGGGTAACGGTGCTTTTGGAATTTCACCTGGCAATAACTGCCAAGTCAACAAGGCAAAGATGTATTGTGCATTCAAATAATAAAAACAAAAATAATTGTACCATTGATATTCAGTAAGAATAAAGTTGTAATACACAAAAGCAAACAAGCAAGTAAATGAAAAGCAAGCAGAAACACTCATTTTGTTTTAAGATAAGAATTATCTATCAGGTTGTTCTTAATCTCCAGTTCTGTATCACAGAAAGGCTACTTACATCCCACATACTGACAGGCTCATTTCTCTTGGTGTGGAATCTGAGTCATTGGATACCAGTGGAACACTGATGTCCTCTACACCTCCATAATTTTTATACCCTCCATCTACACCACAAGAAAAAAAGTTATCTCTTTCCACGTAACAAGGACCAGCTAAGCCCATTATGATCAACTGTCTTTCTCTAGCTGCATTAGGCATTAGGAAATTACATCTAACCATCTGCAACCTTTGAATGACCAGTTAGTCAAAACTGTGAGAAACAGGTGATGACCTAAATAGGATCCTACTTTCTTAATGTTTTTAAATGATTAATTTTACGTGTGTGTGTGTGTGTGTGTGTGTGTGTGTGTGTGTGAGAGAGAGAGAGAGAGAGAGAGAGAGAGAGAGAGAGAGAGAGAGAGAGAGAGAAAGAAAGAGAGAGAAGGGAATGTTATTGTATGTGATGTGTGGGTTCCCATGAAGATATCTGATCCTCTTGAGCTGCAGTTATATGTGGTGTGAGCTTCCTGATATGCATGCTATAAACTCAAATCAAGTCTTCTACAAGATCAGTCAGCATCAACATTGAACCATCTCTCCAGATCCCTTAAAAGATTTCTTTAAGTTTCTTACCTTTAATATCTAGTAAAAGGTAGATATTTCTTCATTTTTTTCCTGACACTGGAACACTTGGAAAATGTAACTTGTTTTCAAAATACTCATTTTGCTTGCATTTTTTAAATATTGTATTTGAAATTTCAAGAAAATGAAACAGAAGCTAATGGTTCTTCATTAGGGAGCAGTAGAATATTGATATGAAGAGTGGAGATTAGCTGGAACAATTTTGTATAATACCCAGAAACAAAACACAAGACCTGGTTTTTCCTTGTTAGCAAAGGATAACTTTAATTGTGAGGATGGATATTTATAGTCTCAAAGAAATGTCTGATGTGTCTCTATGAACAGATAATTACAATGACTAGAAGTACTCAGGTCTGCATTTTTGAGATTCTATCCCCAATATTGACTAAGGTTTTTAACTTTTGCAGAATGTGGTTAATTTATTGTTGACTTTTGTTTCCCAAGGTCTGAACTAGTCAGCACTTATTCAGCTATTTAAAAACACTTTGAGGGTTAAGATCTTAAATTCTAAAACTCAAATTGAAGTTTAATTTTAAAGGATAAATCCTATGAGCTCTTGTCTTGGTGATATAGAGATACAGCCTTATGTGAGCATTAGAAAAGAAAATAGAATTTCAGTATTAAATGTAGAACTAGTTTGATGGGTCAGAATTTATTTGAGTCAAGGTATTTCATTTTTAAAAAGAAAAATGAATAATATCTTTTGACACTTCCAGAAGATAACCTCCCCAAGATGCAAAAAGGCCTGAGATGTGTAATTTTCCTATACTTCATTTGGCCTGTGATATTGAACATTTCTTCTCAGAAAATAGAGAAAATTGTATTTTTGTTTACTGTGAAGGTTAATGTAGGATAAGCAAATAACAGAGATATATTCACTTTGTGAGTGTCAAGAGTTCTAAGACCACAAAAGACTTCTGACTGCCTCCACAGGGAAAAATATATCCCTCCTTTATAGTAGAGGACCAATAATTACGCTTCAGACTAGTGGTCAACCTCTAAGAGCCAGTGACAAAAATACTATGCCACTAAATGCCTGTGAACATGCTTATTTACGTTACCAAAGACGTAATAACTTTTGTCTTTGTACTCTTTCAGAAAGTGTACACTTGAAGAACCAGTTGTTGAAACAATAGAAGAAGGAATATTGGATAAACAATAAATTTAACAACTATTATTATGAGGCATGAACAAGTCCTTTGTCACTGAGAAATTTAAAGTTGACACCTTCCAGTGAAAAATATTATTTTATTTATCTCATTTAGTGAGCTGTCACTTACAGGGACCTGCTAAACATTCAAGAGTTCATTTCTGAATTACCCTACCAGCCCAACATAAGAACATTATTTGTATTGTTTCTGACTTCTGAATGTTTAAACATATGCATCCCATCCCATCCAATGTGAAGCTGCTAACAGGATAACACTTTGTAGAGAGGTGAAAAACATTACAAACCACACAGAGTAGCAACCACTAATTGCCACTACATACAGTGTCTTCAAACCTGCATTAATTTGACTCTTGCTCATATTTTCTTTCCTGCTTCAAAATGTGTTATTAAAACAATGTGAACAACCTGACTTTGTATATTACATGTTATGAGAACCCCCAAAAGACAGGGGTTGGAAATAGGATACATCCCAAAGAAAAGTTCATGAAGCAAAAAATCCCAATAGTGGTTGTGGAAGTCTGTGTAGTTTTTGTGACAATTGAATTGGGCTGAAGAATCAATGAAAGAAGGAATCTGGAGGACTTTACTTACTCAATTGTGTTCCTGTCCACTTTTCCTGTCATATTAATGCCATAGAACTGCTGCATGGCAGCTAGAGCCGACTGCATGGTCTCTGCAGAGCGTAGCACTGACATTCTGGGATCAGTTGGTGGAAGGTAGCCGTATTTTTGTAGCCAAACCTATAATCACAAGGACAATTCCATTAGTTCAACTTCACAATTTCACATTAATATTCTGAAAATTAATGAATATATATAGTATGTTCTAAATTTATTGGATGTCTTTGAAATATACAATATGTACTTTAGATTATATTATAATTTCTGTAGTAGTTGTAGACATTTCTAACATATTTATAAATGTGAATTAATAAAACTTGTGATTAATCACTACTTAGATATTTATTGTATATAATTTGTATTCTTAATATGCAATAAAAATACAAATAAGATTTCATGTGTCCTCCAGGAACTCAATTCCAAAATCATACTTTTCCAGTAGTCTATCAAGATGTCATTGCTGGAAGGGGAAAGAAATATGCACATGATGCACCTAAAGAACTTTATCTATAGAGAATTCAGCAGTGGCTGCAAATGGGATGGGTATCTTTACAGATGAACTCTGATATGGCATTTGCATATATCATTCATGTAAAGACTTTACCCAAATGCAGCTGGACATTCTCAAGAGTGTGTAACCTTTTCATATGAAAAAAATATTATATAATATATTTCATAATGTGAAACTGATATACAATACTCAACGTTCTTGTATGTTTAGGTCTCAACTTAAAGATTTCATGATTCTCATCTTCTCCCCAGTGACAAAACATGGGAGGATGGTGAAAGAAAGAAGTTAGAGTACAACTTCCTCCTCTTCACTGGAGCAATAGTTAAGCATTGTTTGAAGGCACATAAAACAAAACCCAAAATTCAGGGCATTTGAGGAAAATAATGGATTCCCACCAGGAGCACAAGCCTGCTTTCCCACAGCCTCAAACCTTCCCTCCAAAAGTACAGTCCTGTGCCTGCTATCCCTGATTCAAGCATGCTGTCTTTTACCTCAGTCTTCCCAGGAGTCACAGGTTTTTTTAACAGCAGTGAACTACTGGGCAAACTGCTAAGTCTCATGAAATTGCAGTAGTAGTTAGGGAAGCCAGCAGTGTGTTTCTCTCCCTGATGTGGTCTCCTTATCATGTAAGTGATTATATGGGAGTGCAGTTTTTCTGTAATAACTGGCATTATATAAGTTGTAACTATTGCCCAGGAAGTTCATTTTCCCAGCAAAACATCTAGCAAATACAAAAACTAAATTTTGTAAAAAGGTGATATTAAATATGCTGAATTTAAAATGTGAAAATAAAAGGATAATGTTCTATGGATTCTCTAAAATTGACATCCCTAAAAGTACAATGTCTATCATCAGCTTGATAAAAGCTATTTGAAGTTGAGCACTGCGTTGCTATCAAGAAGGTGGCTGGTAAAAGTCAATCTCGAAAAGCTGCCTGCTAAATGATAAAAGTGTGTCAAGATGCTTCTCATCTAATCAGTGATGAACAGGCTACTAAGAAAACAATCTAATCACCTATTTAGCAGTGGTGAAATCTGAGAAAGTTTCCAGTATTTCCTGAATGAAGGAGGCAGTCAATAATATTACTTAGTGTGAAATTCATTATTTTAATTCAGTTGTCAAAAAAATAAGAAGACTTTAATAATACACATGAGCAAAATTTTTTTAAGCTCAGTAATTTTTCTATAGCACCACATTCATATCTTATGTGCTACGAAGCTGTTTGTTGCTAGGCTACACTTGGTGCTAAGCTACGGCAATTTCATTTATAAGAACAGCAAAGAAAAAATTATTAATAAGCAAGCCTATGATTTATATACAAATAGACTAAATATAAAAATATATAAATATAAAGTACATAATGAGAAAATATCATGTTTTAGAAAAGGCACATTTGATTTATGCCTTAGCTTTCCAAAACAAATGATTTCAAATAATGTAAAAATGAAGTATTATTTCCCTTCATTTTTTTTCTCTTACATTTCAATCTTCAGCATGAAATTCTGATTTTTCCAATGAGTGACAAGTGGGTAATTCTTTTTAATTCTAAAACAACATGCAACTTCTGAGACTTTCCATTTTGCAGTCAGTTTATTTTGAGTGATATATCAATGTCATGATTTTGTCAGGCAAGAAAGACATTATGTATGAAACTATAAAAACATCTTGGAAAAAAACCCTACAAAGTAATATTTAAAGATATACCTTACCTGGTATTCTTAATAGAATCCAAGGTTAATAATATAGTATCTATTCTTGTATCTTGTTCACTTATAGATACACAGGTTTGTCTATATATGTGCAAATATGTATATACATTATTTTTAACAGATTGCAATTCAGACATCCATCCTCATATGCTGCTACTAAAAATATATTCCTCTCTTAAACTTTGATTTAAACTCCTGACACTCCTTGATTACTGATAAAAGCAAATTTGTCTCCTGAGATATATTTTGTGCCTTGGAATCTTTTCAGTACACATTCAGTGCCTAAATGCACATTATGGGTACTTAGGGAATATGTTCTTCAAACGTGCATTTGAGGACAGCATGAGTCGGATATCAGAGTATATAAAGCTCACAGTAAAATCAGTGCTTGGTAAGTCATGTTATTTATGCCTTTGATTATTACAATTGTGCCTGATCAAGTAGAGATCTGCCTTAAAATAGGATAAGACTGAAACATAAGAGAACTTTAAATAGGCTTTGGAAGCAGAGGCCACATAAAAGAATCACAAACTATTTGAAAATTCCTCATATCTCAAAACAAGGGGAATGTAAAATGTTTGCCAAACTGGGCTTTGGTGACAAGTATTGTTATGTTTCATTTATTTTATTTTACTGTTGTCATTAGATCAAGTGCATTTAAGAGCATTGAAAACTTAACAATAGGAAGGTTCTTCAAGGAAAATTGACCTGTCTTATGATACAGTACCTCTAATCATTGCAACTAGAACAACCACAAAACTCAAAATGATCTGCGTGACCTCACTTAAATGTACTCCCATGTTATACTTTATCCATGGATATTCCTACCTTTAGTGGTATTTCTTATTGGAAGCATAACCAGAACAATGCTTTTCTCTACAGAATAGGATCTTTCAAGGGATGTTTTTAAAAGAAAAACTGCTGGCAAAGAGATATTACCATCACTAGTTTGTACTATAAATAGGAAGCACTTTTTAAAGTAAACTTAACTATAAAATAGGCCATCATTAATAATATTTGATGTATCCATATCATGAAAACCCACATTAACTGATTCAGTTAAACATATAATCATATAGGCAGCAGCCTATAGAAAGTTATCAATATCAGGGGATGTAAGTAGGTCCCATCATTAATGACCACTTTAAGAGAGAAACTAAAAGCTACCATATTCTTATTTACTGCTTATCCCAGTAAAATAATCTAATGAATTAAAATTCCCTTTAGTCTTTCAAGACAATGCATCTCTTAAAGCTTCAGATTAAGGGAAGAAACAGCAAATCACAGATGCCAGATCAATTAAAAATCTTTTCTTCTGATAGGCTATAATAATAAGTAATCAAATAGTGATGGCTTTGAATATTTGTAAATTGCTCACACACCTTTAATCATTAAACAATAAGTTTATATAAATGTTTGAATAACTGAATTAATTAGTGTTGAGGGAGAAATATTTTTGATAGAGTGTGTATATATATAATATATATTACTTTATTCATTTTACATACCAACCACAGATTGCCCACTCATCCCTCAAACTTCTCCCCCTAGGCTCTTACCCTGATCCACCCCCCATCCTCTCCTTCAAAAGGGTAAGGCCTCCCATGGGGATTCAACAAAGCCTGGTACATTCAGCTGAGGCAGGAACAAACCCTTTCTACCTGCATCAAGGTTGAGCAAAGTGTCTCACCAAAGGTAATGGGCTCCAGAAAGCCAGCTCATGCACCAGGGATAGACGCTGATCCCACTGCCAGGGACCCCTCAAACACACCAAGCTACACAACTGTCTCCCACATGCAGAAGGCCTAGTCTGGTCCCATGCAGGTTCCACAGCTGTTGGTCAAAAGATCATGAGTTCCCACTAGTTTGATTTGGTTGTTTCTGTAAATTTCCCCATCATGATCTTGAAAGCCGCCCCCCCCCCCCCATGCGCAATTGCTCATATAATCTCTCTTTACTTTCTTCGACTGGACTCCTGGAGCTTGGCCTGGTGCTTGACTGTGGATCTCTGCATCTGCTTCCATCAGTTACTGGATGAAGGCTGATATAAACATAGTTGAGTAAGTCTCCTTTTGGTATGATTGAGAATCTCTTGGGTGCCCAAGCATGGTATAATTGGGTCTTGAGGTAGATTGATTCCCAATTTTCTAAAAAGTCATCATACTGATTTCCAAATTGGCTGTACAAGTTTGCACTCCCTCCAACAGTGGAGGAGTGTTCCCCTTGCTCCACATCCTCTCCAATATAAGCTGTCATCAGTGTTGTTGATCATAGCCATTCTGACAGGTGCAAAATGGAATCTGAGAGTTGTTTTGATTTAAATTTCCCTAATGACTAAGGATGTTGAGCAGTTCCTTAAATGTCTTTTGGCCATTTGAGATTCTTCTGTTGAGATTTCTCTGTTTAGATCTGTAGCTCATTTTTTAATTGAATTGTTTGGTATTTTGATGTCTAGTTTCTTGAGTTCTTTATATACTTATAAAGTATATAAAGGTGATTAACCCTCTGTCAGATGTGAGGTTGGTGAATATCTTTACCCATTCTATATTTTAAGAACTGGAAAAAGCTTTGGATGGTATGCAAAAAGGAGTGGGTTTGGGATCTTATTTGACCTGCAAAAATCACTTTTTTAAAACACTTTTTTAATATCACTTTGCTACTACAAAATACCAATTGGCTACTGACCAGATACGTCCACTTACGTTAAATAATAATCACTTCTAGTCAACACATACCATGGGAAAAGCATGTTTCTGTATCTATTTCATATATTCAAACCACAGTACTATCGACTGAATAAAAAGGACAGCAGTGATAAGAATACTTTAGAGAGCAACTTTGTTTTTAACTTAAAAACACCAGCATTTCCATTTCTACATAATTATTTTTATTTTAGAAAA